CTGGCCTGCTGGCTCGCCTTTCTTATTTTGCTTGCCTGCTTATTTGCTTGACTGTCTGCCCCGCTGTTTACTTGCCCGCGTGTCTGCGTGCTCGTCTGTTTGCTCGCTCTTCTCTCGACGTACCTGCTCACCTGCGCTCGCATTCAGAAGCCCGCCCCCCTCGCAGCGGAATGAATGAAGATGAGTCAGTGACGAGATTAATGCAAGAATGTGAATGAATAAAGTCAAGAGAAAAGAGCGGGCCCGGGGCTTTGAAGAGAGCAGATCCCCGCCAGCCGCGAGAGGGGCCGCCGCCTCTCGCCAGTCGGGAAAACGTGCGCTGTGACGTCGCCCTCCTCGTCCTCTCGCCACGTCGCCCTCCTCGTCCTCCTCGCCACGTCGCCCTCTCGTCCTCCTCGCCACGTCCTCCTCGTCCTCCTTCCTCCTTTCCCTCCTCCTCGTCCTCCTTGTCCTCTTCTCACCTTCACGTCGCCCTCCTCCTCCTTCCCTTCCCTCGTCCTCCTTCCCTACTATTCGCCCTCCTCATCCTCCTTCCCCTACTCCTCTCGCCCTCCTAGCCACGTCGCCCTCCTCGCTCTCTATGTTCTCACAGCCCTCCTCATCCTCCTCTCCTCACTCCTCCTCGTCCCTCCTCGCCCACCTCACAGGTCGCCTCGGATGTCGCTGCGAGTATTGGCGGCTTTATATGTCCTTCTGGCCTGGGGGTCTTTCCGGAGGGTTAGGCACGAGTAGGGAAATGGAGACCAAACAGTGACATTGTTAGACGTTGAGGTAATCAAAATAGATACCTGAGAAATGCTAAGGTTCCCGGGCCTTCGTCGTCTAATCCGAAGATCTTGGTAGAGAGAGGGAGGGAGGGGAGAGAGATAGAGAGAGGGAGGGAGGGGGGGAGAGATCTAGAGATGGAGAGAGGGAGCGAGAGAGATAGAGGAGGGAGAGAGAGAGAGGGGGGAGAGAGAGAGAGGGAGGAGGGGGAGGGGCGAGAAAGAGAGGGAGGGAGGGTTAGGGACCGAGCGCGAGAGAGAGAGAGAGAGGGGGGGGTTACCTGCTTAACCAAAGGGCAGCATTTACCTGTGCCGGAGGTGCGTGACAGTAGCCCAAACAAGCTCCTCCTTTCTTTCCTAATTCCCCGCCTGTATCGTCCCTTCCTCTTCCCACCCCTCCCTCTTTATCTGGACCTGACCACTCGTTTTTCCCGTCTCCCCGCAAATTGACGGTTCTTTATGCTTGCAATGCATGTGTTCTTTTTTTTCCATGCTTTCTTTTCGTTTTCAACTAATTTTTGTTTTTTTTTTTTTTTTTTTTCCAAATATATTCCCATTTCCCTTCTGTTTTCTCTGCCCATCATAACCTTCTCCATTCTGCCCCCTCACTTCCTCCCCTCTCTCGCCAGCACCCATTATCTCTTATTCTCTCTCCTTCCCCTCCTCTCTCTATCTCTCCTCTTCCCTTCTCCCCCTCCCTCTCTCTCTCTCTTCTCTTCCTCCCTATCTCGACTTCTCGCTCCCCTTCCTCTTCCTCTCTCCCTCTCTCTCTCCCTCTCTCCCTTCCTCCCTCCCTCTCTTTCCCTCGCCCTCCCTGTCTTGCCCTTCTCCCCCGGTGGCAGGTAGTAGACGGCCCTCGACTCGCCAGAGGGTCGCCAGGTGTGCGGAGGATCTCAGTTCGTTGTTCACGCGAGGTCGTTCCGGTCCTCTTTGCCCTCATTGCGCGCCGGAGTGAGGGGATGTGACGGGTTGGCGTAATGAAGGGAATCTGAGGGGAAGTAACGAAGAGAGGGGGGGAAGAGGGAGACCCTGATTTGTGTGTCTTTCAACGAGACGGTTTTGACTGGCGTGCTTCAAGACTCGAATGTCCTCGTAAATTGACACGATTTTTTTTCTTCTTTTTCTTTTCTTCTTTTTCTTCTTCTCCTCTTGCCTTTGTTTCTGATGGTGTTGGAAGTTAAGCTTGAACAGTTTTGCTATCAGTTTTGTTGGTCTCGTTTTCTTTATTACGAAGCAGTTTCCCCTTTTTATAGCAAAATTGTTTCCCATATCTTTTTTATCCAGCTACCGTTTTCTTTAAACAGTGCCTTCACAAAGAAAATGGGAATAGTGTTCGAGTTTTCCATGTCCAGTTCCTGTTGAATAAAGTAAGGGTTGGGAGGAATGCAGGGCAAAGGGGTGGGGAGGCGGGGGGGTGGGGGAAGGGCGTGAGTGACAGGTAGTCCTCCGTTTGTATGCATGTCAGAGAGACAGACAGAGAGTCAGTGTTTGAGTGTACATGTGTCCATACATGTGGTATCCGTATTGTATCATTTGTTTTGTTTTCCCTCTACATTTGCCTAGTTTCTCGCTTTGTGTTAATACAATGCACGTGTCATTACCGGCAGTAAAACAAAGCCCATCCTTAAACTGTGTCACCCAGCCATTGCCATCCCTGCTGCCCCGCCCCTCCCCCTCTCTCACCTCTGCCCTCCTCCGACGTTAACCCCCCGCCCCTCCCGCCTCCCTTCCTGTAGCAGCAATGCATAACCTATTAAAAGTTAGTTTCAACTGGTTTTCATCCTGTTTGCATATACCCAGAGGAAATGGTTGGGAAAAAGGGGGGAAGAAGGTAGATGAATAAAATGTATGTATATATGTATTATATATATATATATATATATATGTATATATAATTGTATATTATATAATTGTATATATATAGTATATATATACAGTATATTATAATGACATGTGTGTTCGTGTGTGTGTGTGTGCGTGTACGTGTGTGTGTGTGTGTGTGTGTGTGTTTGATATAAAGCACATTTTAGTTAGCGCGTATTTGCGTATCCACTCACCCTGTCCTTGCACCGCAACGTTGCGAAAATGCATAGTAGTTTTTATCTCATTCTGTGAAGTGACTTGTCAAATTTTGCCATTGTTGAAATCGATTGTTCGCCCCATCATCTATCTTTATTCTTTTCTTTCCTTCTTTCTCATCCATCTCTCTCTCTCTCTCTCTCACTTCGGTTCCTTCTCACCCGCCTGCGCCGCCGACGACGGTCTGCGCGGGCCGAGTCGCTGTCCCGCGGTCGCCATTGTCGGGCGCAGCGGAGGCTGAGGGCGCGGAGTGCCGCGCACAGGGCGCCGGACGGAAGCGCCGGAACATCCGTGCGCCGGAATTACGTGTTACGCGAACGGGCCGGGTGGCGGGGGCGGGGGGGGGTCCATCGCAGTCGCCCGAAGCTGCCGGGACTTGCTGGCTGAGTTATGTTCCTTTTCGTCCGATTTTACGAAAGGTTTTTTTGGAAGGGGTGGACGGCGAGGTCTTTGTGCGTCGCTTTTGGCTTTGACGAAGTTACGGTTGATCGGCGGCTGAGCTTCGCGCGGAGGAAAGCGAGGGGAGGGAGCGGGCGGCTTCCGAGCGGCGGCAGGACACAGCTGCAGACAATCCCAGCGGCGTCCCAATTGCCACTCCCGTCCCAACTGGCGAGGGGGAAGGACGCAGAAGTGGTTTATGGATCGCCTTCGGGAAGCGGCGAGGCAGTGGGCAGTGTGGATTCCTTCGCGGCGACGTCGCGACGCTCTGGTGTGCGCGGAAGGGAAGATAAGATAAGGGAGAAGTGATTTGCTCTGAGGTGACGCGTAGATAAGGCGGTAGAGGCTTTTGTGGCACTCCGTTATTGGCGGTTTTGAAATGAAGTGGAAGTAGAAAATAAAGCGGAGGACGAAGACAGGCCGGTCGCGAGACGTCCTCGTATGGTGAAGGAAAAGGGTGGCAGTGATGCGGCGCGGTTAAGAGTCATTGTGGCAGCGCAGGGAGTGCCTCATTCATGCGGCGAGAACCAAGACGTGCGCTTGGGTTGTTGGCTTGTGCCACGCGCCTGCCTCGGTCGCCGGAGGTCTGTAATGACGGGCAATGTTAGTGGCGTTGAGGCTGGCGTCGCCGCGGCTGAGTGATTCGGCCGGGGACGAGGAAGCCGAGATGCAGCCGCTTGCACTTCAGGCGGGAGTGCCGGGGAGGCGATGAGTAAGCGACCCGGTTCGAGTCTCGTGCGGAGTGAACGAAAATCTCGTGGAATCCTTGTGCCTTGAAAAATCATCTCTGTCACCACTGATGCCTTGGGTGTTTCGTGAGAGAACACGGAGTGAGAAAGAAATTTCGAGTGGTTCTGTTAGAGGAAGTGCCGTGTTTGGTCCGCGTGTGTGTGTGTCAGCTTCGACAGCAAAATGTAAACGTCCGGAAAAATGGCGGGAAAGTTAGTCACTTCTGCCTGATATTGCAGATTCGCAGAGAAGTGCGCGCAGTGTTGTCGGTAACTCCCCGTAAGCGACCGTCGGTGAGGATAAACAGCCGTGGAAGTCGGTCTTTCTCGGTGAGGTCAACACCAGCAGTATTTCCTCGCGGTCGACGAACGAGCTCGGATTTCTTACGTTTTTCTACCGTGAAAATGAAAGAGAAAATACTTTCTCTTGGAGCTGACCGAGGCTGGAAAAAACAGTTATCAACTCTGGGAAAAGGGAAAGGTGTACGCCATGGCAGGCAGTGGAAATCAAGCGAAAAGATCGACAGCCGAAGGAAATAAGCCGAGAAGCTCGTTGGCGAGGGAGCCGCGAGCATGGCCAGCCCCTGAGATGGGCCAAGGCGCGGGCCAGGGCTCGGAGGCCCTCCTGTGCCCCCCCTCCGCCCCCCCGTGCATCAGGATGGCGGGGGTGCTGGGCGTGAAGTGCGCTCGTGTGGGCTACAGTGTGTGCGGTCTGTGCTGCTGCCGGCTGCACAGGAGGTGCGGATGCAGAAGGTGATGAATTGTCAGCAAAATATTTTATCATGATTCAGGGACATGATTCAGTTTTCAGTAAATAATTTGCGTGAAGAATGTATGTAGCTTTGCATGCTAGGCTTGCGTGTGGGTGTGATTGTAGCCAAGCAAACAGTGTATGATAAAGTTTATCGCCAAAATGCAAGAGCTTATTGGACTTCCTCGTCTCCCTCCCTCTCCTCCTTCTTCCTCCTTGTCGCTCCCTTTCGCATCCTTCCTAAAAGCCGTCGCATAATGCCTTGTGTTCTTTTCCCGCAGATTCCACATGGGTTGGCTGCAGTTGAGGCGCTGGCTGTCCTTCCTGCCCGCGGCCTTCGTCGTGTACATCCTCCTCCACTACCTCGTGTACCAGCCCGACATCTCGGGTCCCCACGCCGTTCTGGGTGAGTCCTGCGACAGGAGAGAGGCATTCCTCTCTCTTTTTTTTTTCGTTTTTTTTTTTCTCGTTTTTTGAGGGATTGGTTGGGACAGTCTTCGTCACCCCTCCCCCCCTCACTTGAAAACAGCACACATGTATACTCTTCATTCACAAAACACTTTCCAACACCAGTGTAAACACACGCACGCGCATGCAAGCGCAATGTGCGGAGAGGGAGTCATACCTTTAATCGCCTGACTCGGGAAGCGGCCGCTCAGTGAATAACTGATAGGCTGTCGCTGACGTGCGCAAGCTGCAGCAGGACGGAGCAGGACGCGTCCTGTGCATTGTGCAAAGCAAAGCAGGTCTGCTCGGGTTGTTGCTGTCGCGGCTGGAGTTGGCCAGTTCGTTGGTGATGGCAGATTGAGTGGTGATAGAAGTTGTTGCAGGTGATTGTGATCTGTACAGCGCCGATAGTGGGCGGTATTCATCACCCTGTGTTTAGAATGTCTAAATAGGAAAATGAGAAAGGATTCGGTGAATGTGAATTCATGAAATGCGTTTAGATATTCTGATGCGGGCATTGACGGAAGTGGAATACGTGGAGATTAATTGAATAATGTTTTTTGGAAGACTCAGAAAGCTCCAACTCTGTCTCTCTCTCCTCTCTCTCTCTCTCTCTCTCTTCTCTCTCTCTCTCTCTCTCTCTCTCTCTCTCTCTCTCTCTCTCTCTCTCTCTCTCTCTCTCTCTCTCTCTCTCTCCCTCTCTCCCTCTCTCCTCTCTCCCTCTCTCTCTCTCTCTCTCTCTCTCTCTCTCTCTCTCTCTCTCTCTCTCTCTCTCTCTCTCTCTCTCTCTCTCTCTCTCTCTCTCTCTCTCTCTCTCTCTCTCTCTCTCTCTCTCTCTCTCTCCCTCTCTCTCTCTCCCTCTCCCTCCCTCCCTCCCCCTCTCTCTCTCTCTCTCTCTCTCTCTCTCTCTCTCTCTCTCTCTCTCTCTCTCTCTCTCTCTCTCTCTCTCTCTCTCTCTCTCTCTCTCCCTCTCTCTCTCTCTCTCTCTCCCTCTCCCTCCTCCCCTCCTTCCCTCCTTCCCTCCTTCCTCCTTCCCTTTCTCGCCTTACTCACGTGTCCCTCCCGCAGAACAACAAAGTGAAGAGGGAAATGACAGAAAGGAAAAGCGAAAACAAGACCACGAAGTTGACCAGCGCAGCAGACAGCGGTGGGTGGGCAGCGTGGCAGAGACGCTGTGTTTTGACTTTGGAGGAGGAGGGGGGGGGGGCTGAGGAGGCGGTGGAGGAGGAGGGGGGGGAGGGGGCGTTGGAGGAGGGAGGGGAGGAGGGAAGGAAGAGAAGGAGGAGGAGGAGGAGGAAAGGGTGCCAGTAGGGAGAGGGGCAAGAGGGGGGGGGGGGCGTGCTAGTGTTGAAAGATTGAGTTAACTTCCCTAAACAAGGATCTGCAATCTTGAGGGACCTCCTGCAGTGCTCCTGATGCGGCTAGCTAGGTGGCGCCTCGGGTTGAGGGCTTCTTCTTCTTTCTTCTTCTTCTTCTTCTTCTTCTTCTTCTTCTTTCTTCTTCTTCTTCTTCTTCTTCTTCTTCTTCTTCTTCTTCTTTCTTCTTCTTCTTCTTCTTTCTTCTTCTTCTTCTTCTTCTTCTTCTTCTTCTTCTTCTTCTTCTTCTTCTTCTTCTTCTTTCTTCTTCTTCTTCTTCTCTTCTTCTTCTTCTTTTCTTCTTCTTCTTCTTCTTCTTCTTCTTCCTCTTCTTCTTCTTCTTCCTCTTCTTCTTCTTCTTCTCCTCTTCTTCTCCTTCCTTCTTCTTCTTCTCTTTCTTCTTAGTCTTTTCTCTTCTTCTTTCTTCTTCTTATTCGCCTTCTCTCTTCTTCTTTCTTCTTCTTCTTCTTCTTCTTCTTCTTCTTCTTCTTCTTCTTCTCTTCTTCTTCTTTCTTCTTCTCTTCTCTTCTTCTTCTTCTTCTTCTTCTTCTTCTTTCTTCTCTTCTTCTTCTCTTCCTCTTCTTCTTCTTCTTCTTCTTCTCCTCTTCTTCTCCTTCTTCTTTCTCCTCAATCTCCCTTCTTCTTACTTACCACTTAGAACGAAAATCGGGTAGGAAGAGTAAGATAACACTCAGGAAGAAATGCTTAAAAAAAGAGAAAAAAATAGAATGTTGATAACATTTAGGAAGAAATTTATAAATAAAGAAAAAAAAATCGAATGTTTATTATGTTGAAACGACTGCCCCCCGTTTTTTTTAAAGGCTGTTAATGGTTATATTTACTGCTGGATATAATGCCATGTTGATAATAATGATGCTGGAGGTTGTTAACTTGCATGAAGTGATAGCGATGGCTGTTACGAGCATGAGCTTATGTGCGTATTTGAATATTTTATTTGATAAGTGCGAGATTTGAAAGGAACGGTTATCATTGAAGGACAGTAGAAAGGAGCGGTGATATATAAATGAGGAAATAATGGGACGATGGTAAAGAATTGAGGAAATAAAGGGTAAAGAAATGGATGAGAAATAGAAATAAAAAGGGAAGATGAGATAGAAATGAGAAAATAAAGGGAATAGAAATGAGAAAATAAAGATACGATGGTATATAAATGAGAAAATTAAGGGAGGTTGATAAAGAAATGAGAAAATAAAGAACGATGATATAAATGAGAAAATAAAGAAATGATATAGAAATGAGAAATAAAGCAAACGATGATATAGAAAAATGAGAAAATAAAGGAAATGATATAGAAATGAGAAGAAAATAAAAAATGGAATGATAAAGGAAACGATGAAATAATGAGAAAAATTAGCAACGACGATGATTTAGACGAAGCTTTAAAGGAAGGGCGATATGAGATTCAAGTCGGGCTGTCATCCGGACGCGCCGCCTACGCTGTATGGGCGGCGAGGACGATTAAATCCGCGATATAAATGTCGGGAGTCGACGGCAAGCCAGAGGAGGAGCATAAAGTACCCGGATGAGAGCGTTTCGTGTCGGCTGCGTGTTTGCCTGAGGGGGGGAGGGGAGGGGGGGGGATTTGGTGCTAGGAGGGGTGGAGAAGTGGGGGTAGGGGAAGGGGTGGCTGGGCGCTTTTGCGGGGAAAGGGGTGGGTCGAGGTAGAGTTTTCTCTTCTCTCTCTCTCTCTCTCTCTCTCTCTCTCCTCTCTCTCTCTCTCTCTCTCTCTCTCTCTCTCTCTCTCTCTCTCTCTCTCTCTCTCTCTCACACACACACACACACACACACACACACACACACACACACACACACACACACACACACACACACACACACACACACACACACACACACACATACATTGCAGTATGTATAATACATATACATGTATGTTGATATATATATATATATTATATATATATATATATATATATATATATATATATATGTATATTGTGTATATGTAGTATATTGTGTGTGTGTGTGTGTGTGTGTTGATTTCTCTCCTTTTCTCTACTTTTTCTCTCCCTGTCTCGCTTTTCCTCCCTTCCTTCTTTCCTCCCTCCCACTCTCCCCCATTCCCTCTTCCGCAGCCCGCTATTGTCTCCCTCCCTTTTTCTCTCCTTTTCATTTCTCCAATTTTCCTCCCTTCCTTTCTTCCCTTTTATTTCCTTCCCTATTTTCCAATTGGATTTTTTCCCTTCCTTCCACCTGGCCGTCAAATGCAATGTTTAACGCGCAGTTGTACACGGTAGAAGCGTCGGGTCTCGTCCGTCCGGATGGTCGATTGATAGTCTTAGATCGTGACTTTTGACCTTATTTGCGGACGCTCGGCAGCCGCTCGAGTGTGATTTAAAACCCTTGATTTTGCTCGACGGGGAGAGGGGTCGGGTGAGGTTTAGGGAGGGGTGTGGGGGGGGGGCAGGGTTGAAAGAGGAGGAGGAGGAGGAGAGGGAAAGAGGAAGTGAGTGGGGAGTGAGGGGAGAGGGGAGGAGGAGAGGAGGAGAGGGGAAAGGGGAAGGAGAAGGAGTGGGGAGTAGAGGGAGGAGAGGAAAGAGGAAGTGAAGGAGTGGGAAGTAGAGGGGAGAGGAAAGAGGAAGTGAAGGAGTGGGGAGTAGAGGAGAAGAGGCAGGAGGAGAGGGGAGAGGGGAAGGAGGGAGTGGGGAGAGAGGGAGGAGAGGGAAAGAGGAAGTGAAGGAGTGGGGAGTAGAGGGAGGAGAGGGAAAGAGGAAGTGAAGGAGTGGGGAGTAGAGGGAGGAGAGGAGGAGGAGAGGGAAAGAGGAAGTGAAGAGTGGGAGTAGAGGGAGGAGAGGGGAGGAAGGAGCAGGAGGAGAGGGGAAGAGGGAAGGAGAAGGAGGGGAGTAGGGGAGGAGAGGGAGAGAAGAAGGAGTAGGGAGTAGAGGGGAGAGGAGGAGGAGAGGAAAGAGGAACTGCAGGAGTGGGGAGTAGGGGAGAGAGAGGAGGAGGAGAGGAAAGAGGAAGTGAAGGAGGGGAGTAGTGGGAGGAGAGGAGGGAGGACGAGGAGAGGAGGAAGAGGAGGGAAAGCAGAGCGGGGAGGGGGAGCGGGGAAGATGGGGTTCGTGATGTACTTTTTTAGGTCGCGGTTAGGAATGCACGGGTATGGATCTCTCTCTCTCTCTCTCTCTCTCTCTCTCTCTCTCTCTCTCTCTCTCTCTCTCTCTCTCTCTCTCTCTCTCTCTCTCTCTCTCTCTCTCTCTCTCTCTTCTCTCTCTCTCTCTCTCTCCTCTCTCTCTCTCTCTCTCTCTCTCTCCCTCTCCTTCTCCTCCCCTCTCCTCCCCTCCCCTCCCCTCCCCTCCCCTCCCCTCCCCTCCCATCCCCTCCATCCCCATCCATCCCATCCCACCCATCCCAGCCCAGCCCATCCCCCTACCTCACACACACTCTCTCTCTCTCTGTCTGTCTCTATCTCCCTCTCTCTCTCTCTCTCACTTTTTCCGTTCTCCCTTTCTCTCCGATTTTCTCTATATGTACCCGTTATATGTATGTACATCACACACACGTACACACACAAATAGATTCATGCATAAGGATACGCACATAACACATTTTAGCATCTACTTGCATGTGTCAGTTATATATTCATATCCTTCATTCATTCATTCGTACGTAATCCGCGTATTCATGTTGCCTTTTCATAAATGCCCATAAAAAGGAATTGATAAGAGATTCAACATGCAACATTTGGCTGGGACTCGACGCCGGGGAATCCCTCTTAATGGAAGGTCTTTTTGGTGCGTCGCTGATGACGTTTTATTGGACGCAAGAGGATTCCGGATTTTATGCTGGAGAGTCTTGGGTACGTCAATACGGGGGCCTTCGAGACACGCCCCCCTCCCCCTCCCCTTGCCTCTTTCCCTTTCCCTCTTTCAGATATTAATTTTATCGTCTTTCGTTGTTGATGCTGTTCTTGTCTCGATTTTTTATTATTATTATTTATTATAACTTTACTCGTTCCAAGGTTTTGTCCTTCTTTGTTATTGTTATTTGATTCCTATTTTAATTTTCTTTTCTTTATTTCTTATTTTATGCCTATTTTCAGTTTCTTTTTCTTTTCACACTTTCTCCTTCTTATTTTGTGCTTCATTTCCTTCCTCACTTCGTCTCTCCTCCCCCCCACCCCACCCACCCACCCATTAAGTATTTTCTCCGGCATTGCCCCTCCCCTTTCTCCCCCCCCCCCCCCCCCCCCTTCTGTCTCACTTCACTTGCCCGCTCTAGTCTCACGCGTACCCCAGGGAGGGGCCGAGGGGGTAGGGGGTAGGAGGCGGCAGTCGAAATGGGGGAGGCTCCGAGAGATATTTGAGGGATTGATTTTCATAACCGAAGGGACATCCTTTTTTTTTCTTCTTTCTTTCTTTCTTCTGTTTCTGTTTCTCTTCTTTCTTTCTTCTTTTTTTTTTCTTTCTTTTTTTTCTTTTGTTTTCCTTTTTTTCTGTCTCTGAAGCGGGCGAAGAGGGTGGTGCGTTCTCTCTATTCGCTCTCCCTTCGTGTCCTTTTTCTTCTTCTTCTTCTCTTCTTCTTTTTTAGTTCTGACATTTTCCTTTCATCTTTTTCTTTTCATTTAGGTCATGTCTTTCGGTCTTTTTATTCCCGCTTCTCCATTCGTGAGCGTCTCGTCCGTCGGTAGCGTTGGGATTCGTACCTATTTCGGCGGCAGAGAAGGCGATAGAGTGTGATGATTATGGACAATAAGGTGCAGGAAGAGGACGCCATCTTTTGAAAGGAATAGATGGAGGAGCGAGAGTCCGCGCGCGTCGTGAGATTCGTGGGGCGATTAGGAAGACTACGTCACAGATTCACACGAAGTCACACGGAAAAAAAATCGAACGTTTGGGACTGGTTACATTGACGCCAGAAAGCAGAAGTGAAAGGGTTAAGCTCTCTTTGTGTTGCTTTTCTTTCTTTCTTTGTCTCTCGTTTATCTAGTTTTTGTTTCTGGTTTACGTAATTCCTCACGAAGGTATTTATGCATGTCACTTTCGTTATTCGTCCTCATCATGCTTCGTTATTGCCTGTTTAGTTCGCTTTGCTAGTTTACTAAGTTATTTGTTAAAAGGTGTACTAAGTTTCATGTGATTATAAGACCAAATATACTCAAGATATTTTTCGTTGGTTCAAGATCACAAGAAACCTGTTGTGTTTGTTTACAGCAGCTGAGAAGGGATGGAGAGAATGTGAGTGCGCTTACCAGTAGTGTTTTGCTTTAAAGGAAATGGTGTTAACTCTCGTGTTTTTCTCCCCCGCAGTGACGGACGGCCGGAGCAACAGCAGTCTGGTGGGCGGGGCGGGAGGACGGACGCTGCAGAGCGGCCCTCGCGTCTTGCCCCATCTCTCGTCGGACTCGCAGGACGTCTTGCAGGATGCCCCGAATGCCCCCGCGAACGCTGCAACGCCTTCAGCCGGCCTGGAGGACAGCGCCGCGTCGCCAGGCGTGGCAGCGTCGGCAGCGGGCAGCGGGCATCTCCAGCCGGAGGACAACACGACGGCGTTCCAAGGTAGTGGTGGCGCCGCGCTCCTCGACACTGACTCCCCCAGTCTAGCCAGGTTTGACAGCATGCCTCGCCGCCTCGGGGCGCAGGACCCCTCCAAGGAGGCGTCCCCCTCCCCCGAGGAGAGCGAGGCCGTCCTTCTCGGCGGCGGCGGCTTGATAGGGTCCGGCCCGTCGGGCGCGAGCAACGGGCCGAGCGGGGCCGGCGTGAGGACCGGGTCGGCGAGCAGGTCGCCGCCCTCCGCCGCGGGCTCTCTGGGGCTGCCCTCGGGCTCGGCCTCCAGGGCTCCCGTTGAGGACAGTCCGAGAGCCGGGCCTCCGGAGGGCGTGAGTTCGGCCGCCGTCCCGTCCTCGCCCTCGCCCCGTGACGTCCCGCCCCCGCCCGTCCGAGGCGCCGTCCCTGCCCATCCCACGCCGCTGCCACGCCGCGAGGTTCTGTCCGTGGAAGCCGCCGGGAGGCTGCTGCCCATGGACCCCGACCCGCCTTTGCCGCCCGCGCACGCCCTCCCGGAGTACATGGGCCAGGGCGGCCTGCGCTTCGACCAGCGAAGCGTGGACTACCACTACCCCGCCGTGCACGGGGGGTACGAGGGCGAGTACGAGGCCTACGGCCAAGACAAGCCCGGCTACGGCCCCGAAATAGCGATGCCGAGGACCTACTACGCCCACAGCCAGGCCATGGCCGAAATGGGCGGCCTGCACCCGCTAGGCGGGAACATGCTGTCCCCCTCTTACGAAGCGTTCGGCTACCCCGACGAGCGCGACCTGGCCATGGGCGCGAACCCGCCCGCGCAGGCATTCCCGGCGCACCAAGGTAAAGGCTCGGTGCATGACGCCCCCGCTAGGGCTCCCGACCCGCCCTCGCTGGGTCTTCTTCAGTCTCTTGTCGCCTCCTCCTGTCTGGTCTGCATGGCACTTCGGGAACCTCCTTCACAGTATCTACCTGGACTTGATAGAAAGACAAAACAATAACGATGGCTTTTTCTTCGTATGTAAACTGGAGTCCCTTGCATCCCTCTGAGCTCCAGCCTTCGTAGCCCCGAGAGAGGACTTCTTATCTCTTGCAGTCACCTTGAAACTCCTTTAAAAGGTTCTTTGTCTTCACGGATTAAATCTTCCTGCATGCACACGAGGGGACACTAAACCGCCCGTTTGGCAACAGAGAAACACGGACAACCAACACAGCTCTCCCTGCTAGGACCTCTAAGAGGCCGCCCACACACTGCCGGCCTGGGCTCTGGACAAGGAATTCAGCGCGTGTCTTTGTGCTTTCTGTTTACGCCCATAGTTGCCTCTTTTATTTTGCTTGCTCGGGTCGCACTTCTTTCGTAGTTAGATCTAATTCAGGATCGGGGATGTAGTGTGTGGTGCAAGTCGGAGGACGCGAGGGCTAGGGTTTGAATGGGGTGAGGTCCTCCTCTCCCCTCTCCTCCTTCTCCTCCTCCTCGTCCTTCTTCTTCTTCTTCTTTTCTCTTCCTTCTCCTCCTCCCCTTCTTCTCCTACTCCTCCCACTTCTTCCTCTCCTCCTCCTCCTCCCCCTCCACTTACTTCTCCCCTCCTCCACTCCTCCACTTACTCCCCCTCCTCCACCTCATCCTCCACTTGTTTCCCCTCCTCTTCTTCCTCCACTTGTTTCCCCTCCTCTTCTTCCTCCTCATTATCCTCCTTCTCTTTCCTTCCCTTCACCTTCTTCTTATCCGCTTTCTTCGGAAGCTTCTGACGCTCCTTTCATTCAGGAAAGTTGCGTTTTCCTTTGCTTTCTTTATTTTTCTTTTCTTTTTAGCTTTTAGTAACGCTCAACGGATTCGGTTTGATGTTTTATTTAAAGATGTGTAATCAAAGGTGTTCCCCTTGGTTGCCGGGTGTTGCTTTTCCGAACTTTTTTTTTCTCCCCGCTTTCTCTCTCTCTCTCTCTCTCTCTCTCTCTCTCTCTCTCTCTCTCTCTCTCTCTCTCTCTCTCTCTCTTCTCTCTCTCTCTCTCTCTCTCTCTCTCTCTCTCTCTCTCACACACACACACACACACACTCTTTCAGCTCCCCAACACGAGTCTTGTTTCAGGATCTTTCTACACTTTCTGAGAAGTTCTGCTTTTATTATTTACGCCTTTGACGAAGGGCGTTATTCAGCGGGAGAGGGAAGGGCGTGGTGAGCGCTCCTTCCGCTCTCTCTGTCTCTCCCTTTGTTGTTGTTTTTTCGTTTTCTTTATATTCTTTATTCTTTATTTATTTCGTGTCTTCTTTATTCTTTATTTATTTCGTGTCTTCTTTATTTTATTTTATTTCATCTGTTTGTTTGTTTTTCTTTGTTTCTTTCCGAGAAAACTTGTTGAGGTTACATTAGATATTGTCGATCTTCGGTCCGTCTTGAAGCACACCGCGTCATGGCGGTTATTTTGACTTGACGACTGGTTCTTGGGTGCGGAATGACACGTAAAAGCCAAGAAACCTCGTCATTTGCTGAAATAAAGTACTCATGCAGCCACTTGTCTGCAAAAGGTAAAGATTTGAGAACCTAACGACGAAAGTGTTGCTAAAAGAAGACGAGAAGTCAATAAGTAAATTGATGAATACAAAGACAAATTGGTCGACCCACCTACTGGCTTATTTTAACCTCTTTTTATTTTCTTTCTTTACTCGCCAAACCCGGCATTACTGACCTATCCCAACTTTCCCCATTTTGGCTCTCACACCTTCATCTTCTTTGCCTTGTCCTGGCTCCGCGGCTCTCCCAGTTTATTCCTGTTCTTTTATTTTCTCTTTTGCATTTTTGAAAATCTTGGCGCTCTCCTCAGCTTGGAAGTTTTTCTTTCAAGCTTTACTGGTGAAGGAATTATTTGTTTGATTTCTTTTCTTTGTTTTTGTTTTTCTAATTGGTGTTGACAATGTTATTATTATTACAGATACTATTAGTGTTATCATTACTATCACTGCTGCTATTGCTATTTCCGTTACAGTTGAAATCCTTTTTATCGCTGATGTTGGTATCACTTGTTTTGTTCTTGTTTTGTTGCAAAGTCCGGTGTTTGGCGTTGATGCTTCCTCTTGCTCTCTCTGTCTCTCCCTTTGTTTTGTTTTTTCGTTTTCTTTATTTTCTTTATTCTTTATCTATTTCGTGTCTTTATTTTACTTTATTTCATCTGTTTGTTTGTTTTCCTTTGTTTCTTTCCGAGAAGACTTTTTGAGGTTGCATTTGTCTTACCAATCCGAAGATATTGTCGATCTTCGGTCCGTCTTGAAGCACACCGCGTCATGGCGGTTATTTTGACTTGACGACTGGTTCTTGGGTGCGGAATGATATGCAAAGCCAAGAAACCTCTTCATTTGCTGAAATAAAGTACTTATTCAGCCACTTGTCTGCAAACAGTAAAGATTTGAGAACCTAACGACGAACATATTGCTAAGAGAAGACAATGTCAATAAGTAAATTGATGATTACAAAGACAAATTGGTCGACCCACCAACTGGCTTATTTTAACCTCTTTTTATTTTCTTTCTTTACTCGCCAAACCCGGCATTACTGACCTATCCCAACCTTCCCCATTTTGGCTCTCACACCTTCATCTTCTTTGCCTTGTCCTGGCTCCGCGGCTCTCCCAGTTTATTCCTGTTCTTTTATTTCTTCTCTTGCATTTTTGAAAATCTTGGCGCTCTCCTCAGCTTGGAAGTTGTTGTTTTTTCTTCTTTTTCTTTCAAGCTTTACTGGTGAAGGAATTATTTGTTTGATTTCTTTTCTTTGTTTTATTTTCAAATTGGTGTTGACAATGTCATTATTATTACAGATACTATTAGTGTTATCATTGCTATCACTGCTGCTATTGCTATTTCCGTTTGCAGTTTGAAAATCCTTTTTATCGCTGATGTTGGTAATGACTTGTTTTGTTCTTGTTGTTGTTTGCAAAAGTCCGGTGTTTGACGTCAATGCTTCCTCTTGCTCTCTCTGTCTCTCCCTTTGTTTTGTTTTTTCGTTTTCTTTATTTTCTTTATTCTTTATCTATTTCGTGTCTTCTTTATTTTATTTTATTCGTCAGTTTGTTTGTTTTTTTGTGTTTCTTTCCGAGAAGACTTCTTGAGGTTGCATTTGTCTTACCAATCCGAAGATATGTCGATCTTCGGTCCGTCTTGAAGCACACTCCGCGTCGTGGCGGTCATTTTGACTTGACGACTGGTTCTTGGGTGCGGAGTGAGACGTAAAAGCCAAGAAACCTCGTCATTTGCTCAAAATAAAGTACTCATGCAGCCACTTGTCTGCAAAAAGTAAAGATTTGAGAACCTAACGACGAACGTGTTGCTAAAAGAAGGCGATAAGTCAATAAGTAAATTGATGAATACGAATACAAATTGGTCGACCCACCTACTGGCTTATTTTAACCTTTTATTTATTTATTTATTTGATTTCTTTTTACTCGCCAAACCCGGCATTACTGACCTATCCCAACCTTCCCCATTTGGCTCTCACACCTTCATCTTCTTTGCCTTGTCCTGGCTCCGCGGCTCTCCCAGTTTATTCCTGTTCTCTTATTTTCTCTTTTGCATTTTTGAAAATCTTGGCGCTCTCCTCAGCTTGGAAGTTTTTTTCATGCTTTACTGGTGAAGGAATTATTTGTTTGATTCCTTTTCTTTTGTTTTTTTCTAATTGGTATTGGCAATGTTATTATTATTACAGATACTATTAGTGTTATCATTTACTATCACTGCTGCTATTGCTATTTCCGTTCCAGTTGAAATCCTTTTTATCGCTGATGATTGGTATCACTTGTTTTGTTGTTGTTGTTTGTTGCAGAAGTCCGGTGTTTGGCGTTGATGCTTCCTCTTGCTCTCTCTGTCTCTCCCTTTGTTTTGTTTTTTCGTTTTCTTTATTTTCTTTATTCTTTATCTATTTCGTGTCTTCTTTATTTTATTTTTATTTCGTCAGTTTGTTTGTTTTTGTGTTTCTTTCCGAGAAGACTTCTTGAGGTTGCATTTGTCTTACCAATTCGAAGATATTGTCGATCTTCGGTCCGTCTTGAAGCGCACTCCGCGTCATGGCGGTCATTTTGACTTGACGACTGGTTCTTGGTGCGGAGTGAGACGTAAAAGCCAAGAAACCTCGTCATTTGCTCAAATAAAGTACTCATGCAGCCACTTGTCTGCAAAAAGTAAAGATTTGAGAACCTAACGACGAACGTGTTGCTAAAAGAAGACGATAAGTCAATAAGTAAATTGATGATTACAAAGACAAATGGTCGACCCACCTACTGGCTTATTTTAACCTTTTATTATTTTATTTATTTGATTTCTTTACTCGCCAAACCCGGCATTACTGACCTATCCCAACTTTCCCCATTTTGGCTCTCACACCTTCGTCTTCTTTGCCTTGTCCTGGCTCCGCGGCTCTCCCAGTTTATTCCTGTTCTCTTATTTTCTCTCTTGCATTTTTGAAAATCTTGGCGCTCTCCTCAGCTTGGAAGTTTTTTTTTTTTTTCTTCTTCTTTTTCTTTCAAGCTTTACTGGTGAAGGAATTATTTGTTTGATTTCTTTTCTTTGTTTTTGTTTTTCTAATTGGTGTTGACAATGTTATTATTATTACAGATACTATTAGTGTTATCATTACTATCACTGCTGCTATTGCTATTTCCGTTGCAGTTTGAAATCCTTTTTATCGCTGATGTTGGTATCACTTGTTTTCGTTCTTGTTGTTGTTGCAGAAGTTCGGGTGTTTGGCGTCGATGCTTCCTCTTGTTTGGTATCATTTGGCTGGTGTTATTTCGTCCTCCGGGTGAAAAGTTAAACGGCGGGGGGGTGAACCACGGGGTTTCGGGGCAGGGGGGGGCGGGGT